GGGAGAGGCAGGCTAACTAATGATGCCTCCCCTCTGCCAGCCTGGGGGAAGAAAAAGGTTCATTGATCTTAAGACCAGGACCTACATAGGAAGACAGAAAAGATACTGGTTAGCATGTAGTGATCAGTGAAAATGGTTACATTGGTAGTCAAAAGGTGAATGTTTCCCAGTGCACACACCACAAGAGTCCTGCACACTGGGTTACTCAAAATGAGATGGGCCTGGGGCCAGCAGAGGGAGGCCAAGGTCTACTACTGGGCTGTGCACTTCAGACTATACAACCCTTTTATACACACGCAGGGCCACTGGCAGGCTATAGGTCCCAGGTGTGCCCCAAGGAGACGTTGGTGGGTAAATCCGCATCAGAATCTCTGCTCAGCCCCTCCTTGGTTGTGGCATGGTGGGGACACCACTTTGCCAACCCCAGTCTTAGTGACTCATCTATCAGATGGGGTTAGCTATAAAACAACACATGCTTTTGCTGTGAGGATTCAACACAATCTCCTGTTTGCAGGGTTTGGGGCAGGCACAGCCCCGAGGCCTGGCACCTGTGCCTGTGGTCTCTGCTGCTGAGACAGCCTTAAGGACTGGGACCCCCACTTGGATCCCCACTCTCCTCTGGGGGACGCTGGGAGGCTCCACCATGTCCCTACACTGAGTAAGAAAAGGAGAAGCTTCCCCCTGTGGGAACAGTGACCTACGGGAGCTAAACATGGTGCCAAAGTGGCGTGCTCCAAGAGAGCCAGAGGAGCAGGGCATTCCGAAGGCCAGGACGAAACCAAGGGCCAGGACGAAATGAAACGCCTCCCTGCCACTTGGCGGGAGGGGAGTGAAATGCAGGAGGGGTGTTCCTTCTGACAGTGATTTTTCTAAAATGAATCAGCTGTAAAATATAATTCATTTCTTCCTCAATTTTCCCTTTTTACTAAACATTTGAACATTTTGAAAATGAAACTTTCATGGTCTGAAACCCGTCACTAAAACAAATTCCTTTTTTCTTTTAAACTAAGACATTGGCTGAAATTCTAATCAGTGCTGTGTTTATTTTTCAGGGTCTTTGGGCAGCCTGAGGACATATGTCAGCAAGAGCATAACAAACACAGAATTGGCGGCCCTAACAGTGGGGAAAATAGTACCTGCGTATCCACGGCGTCCTCACTGCCACCCCGCATGGGGCATTCAGGTTTCACAGACATCCCTTACGCCTCAGGCCCTTCTCCGGTGCAGCTGTAGTAAACCAGCGCCCTGGTCACCAGCAGTGCTTTATCTTCTATTTGAAGAATCACAAAGTCCCCCTCTGGGTAGATGTGGAGGGCCGTGCAGACCCCACCATCTCCCGCTGGGGTCAGCACCCAAGCTCACCTGAGGGTTCATATGAAACACATTGGATGACTTTGCCTGAGCCAGCTGCCTCTTTTCCTTCTGAATAAAGAAGACCCACCATGAGACCCACAAACGGGGTGATGTGAGTCCTTACCTCCTCTGGGGCACACCAGGAATGCCACACTTCCCATCTGGGACACAGCTCCGGGACCAGGGGCCACCCTTCCTTCCCTTCCTGACTCCACCCAAGCACCTCTCGTTGGCCTGATACACACAAATTGTGGAAACGAATCAAACACAGAAAGAAAGGACTTGGAGACCTGTTTCCATTTGGCTCTGCCACTTGCCAGCTTGAGATCCTGGGTGGGTCTACTAACCCCTCTGGGCTGAAGTGTTTTGTGTATTACTTGTTTGTTTATAGGACAGCAGAATGAGTGTGGCCTGCAGTGGCTAAGGGTGGTGACACTGGTCCCACCCACAGTTTCTACTGTGTTCTAGGGACTTATGGGTCTGTGAAAGAGGGGGCCACCCTGAGCTGTCAAGAGCACAGAGCTCCTTATTATGGCTCACTCACAACAGGCCTGCAAGCTAAACCAGCTCTTGTGATCCCATTGCATGGATGATTAGAATGAGGCTGATTGAGGTGAAGCCATTTCTCTGAGTCGTGAGTAGCAGATCCCAGGCGGCGTGACCCCAGAACTTCCCAGCTTCATCCTGCACTGATTGTTGATTATCTTACTCATTTATTTATTTATTTATTTTTCATGAGGAAGGATGAGCTCAGAAGTAGGCAGTGACTGCTGGTTTCTCACTGCTGTCTGTGGGATGTCAGAGCAGCCTATGAGTGTTCTCAAGCCCTGGGAGGCAGAGGTGTCTAAGGGGTCAGGGGATGAGGACCCGGGCTAGAGAGCTGGTCAGTTGTTATGAGGGGTCCATCCTCCACACCACTGGCTGACGACTTTATCTGCCTGAGGCCCCTGAAAGTTCTGAGTGCTGGTTCTGAAGAGTCCAGAGGGGCTCAGGGACCAAAGGCCCCCAACTTCTCTCCACGCTGGAATTTCAGGGTCAGAGGGCCCCTGACTCTGAGCCATCCCTGCCCCCTACACCTCTTGCCTGTTGTCTGGGCTGTAGAAAGGCAACAGATTAGTCAACCAGAAACCTGCTGCAAGTCTACCCTGAATGACCGGTTCCAGTGTAAGAGAAGGAGGGTTGCTGGGTAGGCATGGGGTGGGGAAGGAGCGCCCACTCTACAACTCTGCTTAGCACCTGCTGCCCTTTGCAGACTCTGCAGGGTCCCAGGCCCTCCAAGAGGCTGAGCAGCCTCAAAAGGCATGAAGCTGCTGGCGTGTACCTGCGACTCCACCGGCAGCATACAAGGGCATCACTAGTGCATGGCCATGTGAGGCAGGCTACAGGATCACTAGGTGGACCCTGAGAAATCATATCCAAGGATGCAATGCTCCCATCCTGCCTAACCCACAGGGCTTGTTGAGATGATCAGACACAATTATAATGAGAAAAGCAAAGCACACTTGGAGGTTCCCTCCTGTACCCCACTGTGCTTTGCAAACACTAACTTACTGGCTGAGCCCAATCACTTTGACAACAAAGTATTGATTTCTCTAAAGTTATCATCATAGACTATATGAAGAGCATGTATTTTACACAACTTACTTATTTTGCAAATATGGATAAACTTTGTAACCCAGATCATCATAACAAGACCATGTGGGTTCATTAGAGTCATACAATGTTTCAAGGGTCATAATATGACTAGTTCAGACCCCTTCAAAATAGTGCTTCAGGCGAATCCGTTCACCAAATGTAAAACAATGTCCATTTATTAAGTCATTTTAAAACAGCAAATTACTATTCATTGTGTAATGAATTGTTGCCTCACTATGCCATCCACCCATCTTGTAGGCCGAGGCATGGAGGTGTTCACCCTTTCGCACACCCACCTGTGCTTGTGAAACGCACACCCACCTGTGCTTGTGAATAGCATTAAAGCCATTTCTACAGACTTTGAATGTGTAGTTTTATTATCTTCTGCCTTAAAACACATAAAGGAAACCATTCTCTTCATCTCCCAAATTGTGAAATAGAGTTCCATTTACCTGCTTCTCATGTTTTAAAGGTCATTTGTGATATAAGTATTAAGAACATGTTTCCCACTAAGGAAACCGAGCTCTGCTCCAATGCTGAGGTGAATAAATGCAGTGCTGTTTCCACGATACACAATCATTCACACAAACACACGATGTGAGTGCCTATTTAGCAATTGTTTCTGTGGGTTTGTTATCTATAGCTGTTTCCTCTTCATTGCTTGTTCACATTATTAAAATCTGATATAAAATGTAAGCTTTCAAAGAATGTGTTTCTAGATCCAAAGAATTTAGAAAATGCTCACTGTTGATCAGATTTTTACAAATACATTCAAATTTAATATTAAGAGTAACTTTGAATAAGTAGGACTTTAGGGCAGAATGTGATAGAGAACCGACCTTTCAACGAATGAGCACAATTTGTGACTAAGTACCTCTTTTAAATGGAGTTTAGCAATTGCTTTCTGAATAGTTGTCTTAACTGTCCAACAGTAGCTCTATGGGGGCAGACACCCTGGTTAGCACTGTGCTAGCCACATCGCAGGTATCCTGTGTGTATTTCTTAAACGAAAAATAATCTTTCTAAGACAGTGTTAAAAATAATGAGTAAGAAGGTCATTAATCCCTGGTAGCTTCATAAATGAGATATTCTTCTGCCCAAAGAGATGCTGCTCTGCAAATCACACCCAGGGAATTCTGCTCCTTTTGGCCCTAGTCCCATCAAGACATGCAAGGTGATCATTTCAGAACCCTATCAGTGTTCAACCTGGCTAACCTGTGAACTAGTCAAGCTCAACAGATTCTCAAAGTGATTTTCTGGGAAAATAATCTACTGGAAAGAAGGTCAGATCCATTCTGTTGCCTTTAAAAGATTTTCCTGGTTGCCCACTGGCTTCTCATGAAACCGGGAACCAGTTTCACCCAATCTGTTCTCAAAGGGCTACCCTACCCCATGCCCGCATTCCACGTTTGCCCTGTCTCTGACTTAAGGAATGAATGCCTGCAAGCCACGGTGTTCCAACTCGTTTCTCCCTCAGTCTCTGGCTGGGCAGGAGCCTGCTGATGGATGACACACTCCCATCAGACCCGCCACACCCGGGTCTACACCACAGAAACTAAGGCTGTTGGTTGACACGGTGGTTGCTAGAACTTGCTACAATGTTTCATTTCCATTTTGACTGAATTCACCACAATCTTATTAAACCAAAAATATAATGTTTAGCCTCTTTACCATATAGACCACAGGGCTATCATTTTTCTCTTTTTCTGATCTTCTCATTTCTATTCTCTTTCTGACCCAAACCCCATCTTGGAATCTCAAAAATGTGTTTGAGGATCACATATAATCACTTTCACCCACCATTGGGTTTGAATATGCCAGCAACTGAGGGTCCAGAGAACCAAGTCATTTACTCCAAAGTCTCTTTGCCTCCAGCACTCGGTCCTGGAAAGGTGAGTTCTGAAACCCTCTGTTCTCAGAAGTCTTCATGCATAGAGTAGAATAAAAATACCTGGTCCGTCCTGAGGGGAATGAGATCATAGGAGCTGAAGTGCTTTGAGATACTCAAAGAAAAAACATGACACAACCTTTTATTATTTCAGATCGTGAGACCAGGTCAGAAAGGTCGTTGGGCTCGTCTTGATGCTACTGCTTTGAATGCCACACAGACTGGCTCTATTTCCCATTCATTTTCCCCAACCTTGTGGGAAAAACTTTTCAGGAGTACAGCATCAATGAAGAATACAGTGTCACGAAACACAAACACGGTCACAAATGACAGTCACGTTACCATGCTGAGTTGTCCAGAGAAGCTAACCAGTTACTACTCAGGGCTGATGTAAAACAGAGGCAATGCCAAAATGAGGTGAAAGAGAATTCAGAATAAAATTCCGTCCCTTGGAGCATAGTCCATCGGTTTTCTCTGCTCCTGCTTCCGCTGGTATCTGGCCTTCTGGTAGAAAATGATGATGGTTACAGTGACTATATTTAGAAGAATGACGAGCAGTATGAGCCAGAATGAGTATCTGTAACTGTGGGTCGTTCCTTTATTGGTGGTTGTCGGGTAAAGCATGTGGAACAACTCTTCGGAGAGAAGGTTGGACTGCGTGTTCGCCACAAACAGTATCATGGTCACAAAAACGAAGGATGCTGCAAAGAAGATGGAGTTTCATGCATGGCATAGTGATACAGTTTTTAATGTCACTTATCTTTACAGAACACATATCTGTGGGTATGTATTGAATATCTGCTCGGGAGTTTACACTCTTTTAAGCACTATGGAGAAGATACAAAATTGTAAGACACAAACTAGATGTCTAGGCATAGAACACCAAAGACTGTGCAGGGCTGCGTATGAACAACAGCAAACGTGCTGACTCAAACGCTTTCAGAAGTAGTTGTGCAACTGGTCTACCAAACAGGGCACTTCCTAGGAGGTGAATGCAATAGTGTGCTGAATGAACGAGTGAATAGGACAGTTCAGAAAGAAGCTGTATAAGCAGGTCTGGGAAGAGCTGAGGAAGGACAGGGCATCACAGATGGACGAAGCTGCCTCAACAAAGACCCTGGGTGGGCAGTGGGTCTGGAGCATCTGGGACTTTGAGATACAAGCTCAGCTGCTGGGGAGAGGTCCCAGGGTCCTAAGAACTGGGTACCGAGACTGGGCTGCCCTGCAAGCCACAAAAATGCCATCCCAGGAGCTTGAATCTCATGGCATATGATGCCACTGGCAAGAGTGTCTAATCGGGAGGGATCTCCTTACAAAACTCATTAGAGAAGAGAACTTATTGTACGTTTCTGTCTTCCCTTTTTTATTCTTCACAATATCCTCCACTATAAAACATTCTTTTTTGTTTGTTTTGAGATGGGGTCTCACTGTCCCCCGGGCTCTGAAGTGCAGTGGCATGATCTCAGCTTACTGAACCTCCACCTCCCGGGCTCCATTGATCCTACCAACTCAGCCTCCTGACTAGCTGACTACAGGCACATGCCACCATGCTTGGCTAATTTTTTGTGGAGATCAGCTTTTTCTTTGTTGCCCAGGCTAGTCTCGAACTCCTGGACTCAAGTGATCCACCTGCCTTGGCCTCCAAAAGTGCTGAGTGTGAACCACTGTGCCCGGCCCTAAAAACATGCTTCAGTACAGACTTGGGAGAGTCATTTTTGTCTAGTTAAAAGCACGTAGTTCTGGAGTCAGAGAGAACAGGATTGGACATCCTAGCTAGGTGAACTTGGACAAGTCATGTAGCGTTTCTGAGCCTCATTCCTCATCTTCCAAAGGGGATGAGATAGAAACAAACAAACAAACAAACAAAAATGTAGATTAGGGCTTTTGCGGTTGCCTCAGGCTGGAAGTGGGCTGGGAGGGGGTGATAGCTAACGGGCATGGGGTTTCTTTTCAAGATGATCAAAAGATTCTAAAATTGGCAGTGGTGAGGCTTGCACATGTCTGAGAACATACAAAAAACCATGGAATTGTATACTTTAATGGGTGAATTACATGGTGTGTGACTCATGTGTCAATAAAGCTGTTAAAAGAAAGGTTTTGGAGGATAAGGATGCCTATGTTCCAGGGCCTGTGATGAGGCCGGTGAGTAGGCTCACCCAGTGAGGTTTGATGTGCAGAGGGGGCCGCCAGGGGATCCTGGCCACAGAAGCCCTTTGCGACTCTGTCTGCCGCCACGTACCCGGAACTCAGTGGCCATCAAATGTATCCTGCTATAACCCACACCTAGGGAAACCTTCCAAACGGTCCTTCAAAAGGCCTTAATTAGAGGGGCTTTGTATGAGGAGAATGTTTTAAATGCTCCTTGATGACAGACCTTCATCCTCAACATAATGGTTTTATTTCTTAATAATTTGTCCGAACAAAAGCCCCGGCCCTCTGAAGCTCTCCGGGTGCCTCACAGCCTTAATTATCTTTCATTTTCCTCTTGTGAAGTTTCTTATAAAAGCTTAATCATAAAGGGGCAGGGTGAATATAGGCTAAATGCTTTTTTCCAGAGCGGGCTGCCTCGAACTTTGATTTGAATCGGGAGGGGCTGACACACAGACGCAAAATGCCAACCTGAGTCCCCTTTAGTGATGAGATGCCCAGGGCCTCTACCTGCCAGGCTTCTCCAACCTCTGGGACAGAAGGACTTACAGGGGCTGGAGGAAGCCCCGGGGTAGATGAGGAGCTTCGGAAGGCTCACGGACCCTGGCTTCTGTCCTGGCCTGTGACCCTCGGGTCCCATGACCTACTGATCCCTTTCTGCTCTCTGGGTTCCTCAGTTGAGACACAAATGTATTTGGAACAGGCGGTCTGCAAAGTTCTCTCTGGCTCCAAGCTTCTCTCAGTCGACAATTTTATCCCCTGAGGTCAGGATGCAGCCTCATCAGGTCAGTGTGGTGCAGAGGGTAGGCTGAGGTCAGAGGTCATGGGAACCTAGGAAGTGAGACTGCTGTTTGTCTCCTCAAAGCAGAAACTGCTTCTTTCTATCAGAAACAAGCCAGCAAACCCACTTCCTTCCCTACCCAACATCTGCTGGCTAAGCAGAGGTTGTTCAAATCCAGCCCCTAGGGGTTTGGAGGGATTCCTTCTGGCCCCAGGACTCCCAGAAGTCAGTCTGATCGTGCTCTCCCACGGCCATGACCCAAGGCAAGAATTAAGGCATCTCTGCACACAACCCCTTCTGCAGGTTGAGCCTCCTTGAAACTGAGAGTTTCAGTAAGTTCTCCAACCCTCAAAGCTCCTGTGAAGAAAATCAGGGCCCTCAAAGGGCTACTTTGGGCAAAAGTCAGGCCTATCAAAGCATTAGGGTCAAGAGGCCTCAAGGGGCATTTAGAGGAAGCCAAGCTGTGCCAAGGCCTTCTCCCAGGCGGGCAGCAGAACGCAATCTGCTCCTTCCACATCAACCTCTCAGGCTGTTTTCTGCCCACCTCACAGCCTCTTTCTGGCCCCTGAGCCAGGAAAGGAAGGTGGCAGGAATTCCCTCTCCATCCAATAATTCTTTGTGGATAGGAGTAGGCAGGGCTACGGGGAGGCTGCCTGGCCCCTGTTTTTATTCACAAACATGCATGAGGCCTCTGCTATATGCAAAGCCAGCCCGTACTCCGCTGTGGAGGAGCAGAGATGTGGAAGCCACAGCCTATGGAAGAGGTGGCAGACTTTGAACCCTGCAGGCTGCAGACACAGCAACGCTGGGCCCCTGTTGTTCGGCCGGCGCCACACCTGGCCCTCCACTCTGGTCCTGGCACCTGTTTTCCCTCCAGGAACTCAGTATTCCTTCCCCACTCACCCCTGCAGCTGGGGAAGGGCCGACTCCAGCCCCAGCTCCAGGATGGGCAGGTAGCCTTAGTCAATCAGTGGATGGCTGGGGGAATTCAACCCTGCCGGCCACAGAGATTGGTCAAGCGATGGGAGAAGCGCAATGCCAGTGCAAAGTAGCCCAGGACTTTCTCTGAATTTGAAGGAAATAAGAAGTTTTTTTCTCTTGGGGCTGCCACCATCAGCAATGAGCCCAGAGTGGCCAGCAGTCATCTTATCTTCAAGAGGATTGATCCAGCCAATTAATGAATGATGGAGTCAACACTGAGGATTCCGATAGATGGAGCAATGGCAGGAAACAGTCCTCATGACACGGGCCAAGACCCTAACTCGAGCTGTGTCCGAAGTCACTGCTTCTCGTGCTTTCTTAGTTACATCAGCAAAAGTAAAAATAATCTATCTTTTTGCCCTGGCCATGGGTACCAATTGGTTTACCTTTGGTTTTGGTTGACAGGGGTGAACCATCATCATGCAAGTAGCTTGGGCAAAGGACTCTGGCATTCAGGTGAGTATATCTGACTTTGTAACAAAGTCCCTTAACCTCTGACACTCAGCTCTGCTCTAAGAAAGAGAAGCAGTGATATTCATTCTACAGGACTGTTGTGCCTCGTCCATAGTGGCTGCCCATTAAACTGGGGGATTTATTTGTTTTGACCACCAAGCAATACAAGCACAGAAAGAAAGAGCCAGTCATATATGAATGTGGTTAAACCAGCCTGACCCCAAATCCTCGGAGCTGAGGTGTGATTATGTAATGCAACCCAGCCCACCTGTAGTCCTGGCTTAATGCTTTTCCATTTTAAAAGCATCCCTCACCGTCCTACCTGTGCTGCGCTGGGGCCAGTTTTTACATCTCAACTCCACGTCAGTGATCTCACATTGGGAGTTTGAAAACGGCCATGTGGCTGTGCTTGCACCATTCCAATCACCAGGGCTTTTTTCTCTCTTTGTTTCTCCCCACTGGAGAGCCAGTTGTTCATATTCCTCAGCACATCTCTACCCCATGGCACGGAGCTGCTGGCCTCCTCCAGCCACCTGCGCCTGCCTCGTGGTAAGGATGACACTCAACGGAGGGACAGGATGGTGCTGCTCTCAGCCCCTCCTCTCAGGCTTCCTGACATGTCTGATATCCAGAGTCTCCTTCTTGTGCTTGAAAATTTCAGGCCTGTGTTAAAATGTGTCACCTGAAGCTTATGTGAAGCCACCTCAGAAATCATTTCCTTAGGACAGGCTTCATTCCCAAGGTCCAGTCGCAATGGTGGAGAGAGGGAAAGAACAGGAGAAACTTGGCTGCCTGGGGGGAGCAAGGCCCTGAAGGCAGCTGAGCAGGGCAAAGAGGCACTTCACTGGCCCTGCTCTGGGCAGATGGGCAGCCGCAGAGCCCTGGCAAAATCCAGTGAAAGCCAAAACACTGTGAGTCAAAGCTGGGACCCACTTCCCATCTGGGCTCCATCCTCCCAGCACCACACCCATGAAACAAATAAAATAACCAAGCAACACCACCCAGCCACACCCCAGGCTCACAGGTAGCCCACAAGAAAGGTGTTGCCCCCAGATTCTCTTATGTGCCATTATCTGTGGCTCTGTGGCACAAGCATGCAGAGATGTCACGTGTGGAGACTAAGTGGACTCTTGTCATGTGGAAGAGGAAAGAGAAGGAAGAGTGTGCCAGTGTGTTCATGTGTGTGTGGGTATGCACGTGTGTGTGTGTGCATGTGTATGTGTATGCACATGTGTGTGTGCATGTGTATGTGTATGCACATGTGTGTGCTTCTATATGCCACACAGAGCCTAGTTTGGAGTTAAGCACATGACAGGAGCCCGGTCAATATTTTGTTGACTTTTGTGCATTTTGACTTCTTATGTTAGAGTCTCAAAAGCAAAGGCTGGCTTGTTATAAGCCTCCTCAAAAGTGCATTTAAAACAGAATTATATTTCCAGAGATGCTTCATAAACACTTTGGATTGACAAAATAAACCCCAGCCCTCAGCTCATGGGAGGTCCTCATAGTTTCCTTGGTGTAAACGTGACTGTATGTTCATGCGTGTGTGAGAGGTGGAGACACGGGGACAAGAGGGATGCGGTCCTCTGCAGAGCACCGGGTCTCACAGGGCCACTCACCGCTGAGCCCGTTCCAGGTGTACACCCCCATCGGCCCCAGGAACGTCTGGTAAGGGTTGCTGATGCTGTTGTAGAAGGTAAACCCAGAGCTCAGCAGCGACGTGAGCAAACTCAGGACCAGGAACAGGATAGTCACCAAATGCAGAGTTTTTTGGGAAGAATTATTCAGTATCCCTAAAACTAAAACAATGTTTTGTGAGTGCATAGCACATAATGCAAATAGCAGCTCTGGGCTGGCATTCCTCCCCACCCGACCCTCTTAGGTACTTGAGTTAGCCGTTGTTGGATGTCAGTAGAGGTATCAGGAACCTCCAAGTCATGCAAGAACAAGACCTGCATTCCCCACAGGAGGCTGGTTGTTCAATCAGTGGTTGGATGGCTATAACCGCGACACTACAGGTAACTGGATATTGAGCCTGATTTTGAAGTCCCCTAGGAGAGAGTTTGCCTTCCTGGATACTGGCAGCAGGGCTGGCCAGCCTTCCCATTATGAGCTCAGGCTCCGTCCTTGCCAAGGTGCTTTTCACAGTTTCATCAGTGCCCCTGTTGCTCTGAGCACTAACTCGGCTTCCACTTGGAGGCACTCACAGGGCGGGTCACCCTGAAAACTTGTGCACTGTGAGAATCCCAAAAGCCCTGTGGTGTCTGGGGTAATTCCATGAGTCAGGGGTGGCAGCAGCAGAGAAAAGGCTAAGAAAGGTGACCAGGAAAGTGGAAGCTGAAGGCTGACATAAGAAAATGACTTCTGTTAGTGCAAATCGAGGTGTGGGTCCTACTTCAGACTCCACTTTCCTGGAGACAGAGAGGACCAGATGCCCACAGGGCTCCAATGCTGGAGGCGGCTGGGAATTTGCCCATAAATGAGCCTTGACTCTGCTTTCCAAGGAGAACTCTTCTGAATCCTAACAGCATTGCATGAAATGTGCATATTTCTTAAGTGCAGAGTAGCTCCAGGCATAGAAGGACACTCATAAAATGAAGCAAAGGTGCCCTGGCTGTCAGTCCTGGGTTCCTGGTTTTGCAGGCTTCTGACCCTCACCAGCCATATCCTCCACCTGCCCTTTTGTGGAGCACACAAGGCCCAGGCACCACAGGGGTGCACTTACATGTAAGCCCAGCCCAGCCACGGGCTGTCAGGGTGTGTGAGGCCCTGTGGAGGAGGCCAGCACATTAAATAGTGTTTACACGGACGTTCCACGAAAGTCACCACGACATGGGAGAAAGTGATTTGGGAGAAAGTTCCGAGTCACAGTAAGGCCACAGCAACATCACTGGGAACAGGTGGGTCAAAACAAGTGAAAGTCTCTTTCATTCCATGCTGGTTTCTCTGATCTCCAGGGAGAGAGCCTTGGAGACCTCACATCTTTATCTGGAGCAGCTTGAAAGAACAGAAAGCGAAAAGGCCAGGTAGGATCTCTGGTTCCTGGGCCTAGAGGTGGTATTCCCTCAGCGTATGCCCACGGATCGAAGGTCAAGGAGTTCCTAATGGAACCAGAGTGTCACAAAGAATTCAGAGAACAGGCATGGGAGGTGGGAGACCCCAGGGTGCTGTGGGCACCCATGGGAGGGGCCACCAAGTCCCTTCCCCTTTCCCTCCCCGCATCACCATAATGATTGAAAAATTCCTCTTTATCCTGAGCCCAAATCTGCTTCTCCACAACTTAAACCCAGGGTTCCTAATTCTCCTTTGGGAATCATACAAAATTCACTTGCTCCTTTCCTGCCTGGCAGCCTTTCCAAATATTTGAGGAGGGATATAAATCCCAACATGATTAACAGCCCACGTCTCTGGAGTATTCTTTGTTGGGTGTGACTGCAAAGTCCCTGACAGCCTGGCCCGCTACACATACTTTATTCTGACTCTATTTCTCTTTCTCTTTTTTTCTTCTGTTTTTGGAGACAGGGTCTTGCTGTGTCACCCAGACTGGAGTGCAGTGGCAAGATCATCGCTCACTGCAGTCTTGATCTCCCGAGTTCAAACAAAGAATCCTCCTGCCTCAGCCTCCAGAGTAGCTGGAACTACAGGATGTGCCACCATAACCATGCTCAGCTAATTTTTAAAAATTTTTTCTTTTTGAGTTGGAGTTTTGCTCTTATTGCCCAGGCTGGAGTGCAATGGCACGATCTCAGTTCACCCCAAACTCCACCTCCCGGGTTCAAGCGATTGTCCTTCCTCAGTCTTCTGAATAGCTGGGGTTATAGGCATGCGCCACCACGCCCGGCTAATTTTGTATTTTTAGGAGAGATGCAATTTCTCCATGTTGGTCAGGCTGGTCTCCAACTCCCAATCTTAGGTGATCTGCCTGCCTTGGCCTACCAAAGTGCTGGGATTGCAGGTGTGAGCCACCATGCCCAGCCTTTTAAACAATTTTCTATAGGGAAAGGATCTCACTATGTTGCCCAGGCTGGTCTCCAATTCCTGAGCTGATGTGATCCTCCCTCCTTGGCCTCCCAAAGTGCTGGGATTACAGGAATGAGCCACCACACATGGCCAGATAGACATGGGGCTCCCAGTGAGACCCGACACTCCCCTTGGACAGGAGGACATCCTCGCTCCATTTTTGAACCTCTGAATTCTATCTGTTCATTATTGTTTTCTTTTTTGGCTTTTTAATCAGCAGTGTTCTATGAGGAAGAAAAGTTTCCTCCCACTGAACAGAGAGTGGGCATGAAGGAGATGTGGCCGGCAGCTTGCAACCGGGTGCCTGAGACACAGCCTCAGGGGCTGCTGGCGAAAGGGTCCTGTGGTAAAGACCCTTATCCAGAGAGAGCGGGCATCCCGAGTGGCGCGGGTCTCGGGGTAGAGCCTCCTAGACCAGGAGTGGGAGAAGCCCCAGAAGCAGCAGTGACAGGTAACCCAAGGGCCCTGGCTGCAAGGGAGAGTGAGAAAGTGCAGGAAAGAAAAGGGCAGGAGAGAGAAAAGGGCAGGAGGAGGGCAAGGTGGATATGCCTCACAGCGGTTGGCATGGCTGCATGTCCCTTGAAAACCCATGGGAGAAGGGAGCAGACCAGGAGACGACCGGGCAAGCCTCAGCTCAGTGGCATGAGGACGATGGCTTCACCACCGTGGCAAGGGAACATTCTGCTCCTCAAGTGGAACTGGGGACCGTGAGCAAAGTCTAGCTCGCACAGGTACAGCCTACTTGTGCTCAATGGTGACTGGACTATTTTGGAATTTCTGCTAATAACTCATAGAGCATGGTGAAATTCTCAGCATAGTCTTGGGCTATGCATCCCAGGGAAGAGCTCTAGCGGGGCATGGGTCACGCCAGCCACTGCCTGCTGCCTGGGCGGGGATGGGTGGGACCTGCTGGGCCTGCCTTCTGGGTGAGTGGGCTGTGGCCACCTAGGCTGGGATGGTTCCCATCCCTGACCTCAGGTGACGTCTCTTGCCTCTGCCTATTGCTCACTGTGGCGGTGCAGCGGATGCAGGATTCATATTGCTACAGTTTAGCACACACTTGTTTTGAAAGTAATAGAGGATGACACCGGAGGAGAGGAGGAAAAAAACTACAGCACGTAGGACACACCTGTTCAGGGGGACAGGTCAGAGGCTGCAGCTGAGTCACTGCTGAGTCACCATAAGGGGAATCACTTCCCATTCCACACTTGCCAGCTCCTCCTGGATGCTAAAGGGGAAACTCCGAGGTCTATCCCAAAGTTTGCTGGGGACTAAATGAACTCACTCCTTAGCAAAGTTTGGTAACCAGTAAGAAGTAATTTGGTTACTTAACTAGAAAATAGAAATTTCAGTGTTAAAACAAAAATAAAAATTAAAAAATTAAAAAAGCTGTGTCCACGGCCCCTGAAGTGACTTGCAGTATTTTTCTGCTTCACACACTTAGTAAAAGCGGTTTTTGGATATTCATTGGTAAATGGTTCACAGTCCTTTTTTTTTTTTTTTTCAGAGTAAATTAGAAAGTGACAATTGAATTTAGCTTTGTTTGTGACTTTTGGTAAGGTCTAATGATGTGATTTTTCCAAAGGGAGTCATTTGGGGCCTGTTGACTCATATTTTCTGCATTTTAAGATGACAATTCATCTTGATTCTAACTGCTGGATTTTAAAATTATTTTCCGGCTTTCTGACTTTCCTGCCACACAGGTCTGACGGCTGTATCTCCCCTCCAGCTCCTGGCTCAGAACTTAGACAATAAAAGCTGAAAATTCAGGGAAAGTTATCAAGAATGAAATGACAATAAACTTACATAGCATCTGACAGCTGCTCTCTGCCTGTAAAATTAGCAAACACATTCCGTTCTTTTTCTTCCTTTTAGGGGGCAAGCGTGTGAATCAGGAAAACCACCTCACAGGTGGCGTTAATTGTCCCAGGAAACAGCCAAGAACAACGTGGCCACAGAGAAGAGCGCCTGACCCGCAGATCCCGCAGCTGGGAGGCAGAAGCGTGCTGCTGGGCAGTGGATAAAGGGTGCCGCTGAGAGCCATCGGGACATCCAGGCTCCCCACGCAGGGAAATGTAACCCTTCAGGCCCCACTGGCCATCTGCCTTTTGAGTTCTGGTTCTCGGTAAGTCCTCGGACATCAAGGGAGAGCCCATGGCTTTGTGAGTGGACGGGTGGGAATTACCGTGACTCCCTCCGCAAACACCTGGTCACCAGGGAGCCTGAACAGGGCAGCTCCCAGTACCTGAGGGAGGAGCTCGTTCTATCAGCAGATCTCCAAGTGTGACCTGGTAGCTCTCCCAGGGAGCCCAGGCTGGTGCCCCAGCCTCTCAGAAAGTTGCCAGGGTTCCTTGGGGAGAAGTGGCCTGAGCCTGGGCGGGCACCCTTTTTGTCCTCTATACTCTTCCCTCCCGGTGTGGTGACATCCCTCGGGGCAGAGGATGAACACTGCTCTCCAGGAGAATCTCCTTATGTGGACGGGACAGGAGTAGCAAGGTGGGGGCTCTTTATTCTTCTCTTTGCAATTCATTAGTTTCTGCAGCAGATTTATTTTTCTAATTATTTTTAGCCTGGACTAATGGTGCAATGTTGAGCTCCCTGAGAACACGTGGAGGTCGGTGGAGAAAAGAGACTAGCGGGTGGGGGAGTGCCAGGTGGGGAGAGACTCGCGCCAGCTGCAGTGGGCCCTCACCCGGACGCAGCACTGAAAGGCCAGCCGGGAGCCGAGCTTTCCCTCAGTCGGCCTTGCTTCCTTTGCAAGGTTGTCTAGAGCTTTTGCCAATCAATTAATTTAATTTCAAGCAGGCCACATCCAAAGGACTTAAAAAGCAATACCCAGTACAGCAATGCCTGTCACTCTAGTGCCTGGCCTTGGTTGTTGTCAACACCGAATTAGGATCACCTGGGAAGATTTTTAAAAAATGAGCAGGTCAGGGCCTCACCTCACGGAGACTGCTATTCATCTGGTCCGGGTGGGGATGCCACACCCGCATCCCAGGTGATTCTACCTTCCGCTGCAGGCAACGTGACTGCTCAAAGTCCCACACATCTGCAAATCAGACTGTTCTTGGAACCGAGAACAAAGAGTGCAGTGTCACAAGAGGAGAAATATCTCTCATAATCAAGTCCAGCCTGGGCTGGTGACACGCTGTCTCCACAAAACATCAGAAAAGTGGCTGGGTGTGGTGGTGCTTGCCTGTGGTCCCAGCTACACCAGAAGCTGAGGCAGGAGGATCTCTCGAGCCCAGGATGTAGAGGCTGCAATGAGCTATGATCGCATCATGGCACTCCAGACTGGGCAACAAAGCAAGACCCTGTCTCAAAAAAGAAAAGAAAAGAAAAATCTTGCCGGGTGCGGTGGCTCATGCCTGTAATCCCAGCACTTTGGGAGGCCGAGGTGGGCAGATCACTTGAGGTCAGGAGTTTGACACCAGCCTGGCCAACATGGTGAAACCCTGCCTCTACTAAAAATACAAAATTTAGCCACCCGTGGTATGCATTCCTGTAATCCCAGCTACTAGGGAGGCCGAAGCACGAGAATTGCTTGAACTCAGGAGGTGGAAATTGCAGTGAGCCGAGATGGCGCCACTGCACTCCAGTCTGGGTGTGAAGCAGCCTGGGTGATGAAACAAAACAACAACAACAACAACAAACTATCATAGAAACTTTTCCTGTCAAAATGATTCTATAAAAACGTTCTAGTCAGCGCGTAGGCTGAGTAATATTTGAAATGACATTCACGGGAATTCCATGTCCTAAATGTGAATGACTCATCTTGCCATGATTGCCGGTGTGAGGAAACAGAGCACACTGTGCTTCCGGACCCTGACCACATTTGCAAAACACAGAGATAAAGGAATGACTTCCTTTTACATGGCACCCAAGATCCAGAACTGAGAGGGAGGTGGGTGGCCACGGTGTGAGCTTACACCTCTTAGCAGCTCATTTTTCAGGATTCTGTCCTCCAACGGGGCTTTGCAGACATGCGTTCCCCGCAAACCCTTGCTTCCATGCAGACCTGCACATACCATGCCCCAGCAGTGAGTGCAGGGCACCGATTTTAACTGAGGAAGGATCTTTCTCTCACACTGGATGGTGAGCCCTCCAAGGCCAGGAACCACATGCAATTCCTTTCAGTCTCCTGAGCCCCTCATACACGCAGTAGGTGCTCAGGGAAGTGTTTGAACAGAAATCAGATCTCCAGAACTTTGGGAGTAGCAAAGACAACCTGCTCACAGGTGGACATACAGGACCTGCCACTTTTCATCTGGATGTTGGGCAAACCAGGATGCAGCCAGTCAGCCTGAGCTGCCTGCACCCTCCAAGTTACACACTGGAGAATTTCCTTACCAGGTCTGAAGAACGATTTTCCCCACAGATTGACCAATGTTGGCTGAATTATTTTGGCACTTTGAAATCAGCCGTCATTGCTTCCTTCTGCTATTTTGTTTCAAAATCTACAGACAAAACTGGCTGAATGTGATAAATACCATGCAGAAATACAGCAGAGCTTTGCAATAATTATTACTCTTGGGAGACTCTTGATGTGACCTCGCCCTAGCCAAGAAGCTCATGTGGTCAACTTCTCAATTGGAACGGTCAGTCCACCACTGTTGGGCAAGAAAGGGGCATTTATACAGATTTGATTCTACTGCCCATGGTTGGTTTCTGATTTGAAAGAAGCCCCGGGTGGCCATGAGAAACCATAGGAGAGCACCCATGTCTCATTGTGCACACTGCAGGGCTGCTCCCAGATGAAGCGTCCCAGGATCGTTAGCAGCTGAACACCACAAGTTGAAGATTCCAGTAAGATGACTTTCCCCTGTCCGAAAGAACTGCTTACAGGTGTTCAAGCCCAACAATTATTACAATCATTGGCAATGAAGACCCCCTAGGCTCTGAGGGGTCCTTAGGTGTCAACCAGAGTGACAGTGCAGCACCTTCATTAATTGGGTGGCGGTTCACCTTCTTCAGCACCAGGAGGTTGGGCAGTGACTTGTGGAAAGTCAGAATGTGGCTCCTCAGTAACAAAGACTGAACGTAGAGATCCAGCAAAGGGAAGGCAAATATTCTGCCTCACTGTGCTCTCACCTGGGCTGCCGCACCTAACTGGCCCTGGGCCCTTTCAGGGCTCTCCTTGGCGAGTGCCTGCTCTGGTCCTCTGATATCACCATGCTCACCTGCATGCACACAGGGCTTTAGAGCCAGGTCCTGACCCATCCTGGCCTCCTCTGAGTCTCCGTGCATAGAGATAGTTGATGCTTTCTTTGAAGCCATTTATCTCAAATTGGAAATCAACTGGTTCCAAACAGACACCATATGGAAACCAAAAAAAACTGGTAGGTTTTGTCTCTTACTTACGATTTTTTAAATGTGTCTGAGGTTTCAGGACACTTTTTGGTTTTGAAAATGCTATTCACATAACTGAAAGCATGACTGAGTCTTTGAAAGTTGCTGGAAAGCCAATGTTCCCCATCCTTATGGGAAGCTGAGGTTGACACCAGAGGAGATTCCCTGAAAGGCTATGGCAATGCCCGGGGAGACGCTGCTTTTGCTAACATCTAAATGACAAATGTATAACTTGGGAACATAACCAGGCTGCTTTGGATTTAAGAAAATAGTTTCATTAACAAAGTCATAAACACACTAGAGCTAGAACCTAGAGCTAGTGTCCAGGACTCAAACTTCTTTATGCATTACACAAGGACTAAACATTACATGTGTGTAGGGTAGAAAATGGTGCATATTTATAAGTCAAAAGGTAATGATTGTACGATACCCGGTAATGTCTGTATAATACTAGCATACAACTTTGTTCAAAACAAAGTCCATTTAATGTGTTACATAACTTACAAATGTTTTTAAATTTAGAAAACATGAAGGTAGGTATCAAACTTCAAAAGCCAAATAAGTAGCTAAATCAACTTATTATTCTCAATGAACTTTTAATTTTCTTCCATTGAGAGGATGGCATTATTATATAAGAAATCAGGAAATAAAAAGTTTAGGAATTCCTATCAAATATACAATTAATAAGTTAATGGAAATTTAATATAATTCCCAACGATTAGATATTTTGGAGGTAAATTCAAATCAGTTTAAGAAATGAACTTGAGAAACAGAGATAATTAATTTCCCATTTTACTCTTTCCTGCATAGATGCCACTTGTGAAATTCTAGACAGAGGTTGTGGGTTCAACTAAAAACCCAGTCAATACAGTTAAAACGTGCATTCCTACTGGCTATTCAATGCCATATTGCTGTCACATATTTTTACTTATTTACTTGTCAATCAACTTGGTAGGTGTTATTTAAATATCACCACTGCTGGAATGATTTAGACTATTGTACCAATAGACACAAGCAGAATTGAGGAAGCTCAAATAATGGCATGGCAAATTTCCAAAATTATCTTGTATTATTAGACTTGCATCGTCAGCCTAACCCAAAACTTACAAAGAAATTATTTTTGAATGGTTATTTGGCCCAAATATAGAATGACATAAACCTTAATTCAATCTCACGATATCCATTCAAATTAGTTTATCATTTACCTGCAAAGATTTTGTTTGGTTCTGCAAGTCCGTGACTCAATTCTTGACTACTTTCCCCACGAAAAAGTCCATAAGTGATGAAAATGCTCCCATTTGAAGCAGAGTCTCTAACAGCAATTGTACTGGTGATCCATGCTTGTGTCCCAAGAATAGAGCAAATTACAATGAAAGACCCAAGACTGGTGAAAAAGCTTGATAAGAACATCAGTGTCTTCTTTGTGGTAGGCATTTTCACAGGAAAATAAGTTCTCTAGGACAAAAAAATGAATATCTTCTTTTGGACCTTATCATTTGAAGTCTAGTACTTAGAAATAGAGTCTAACACTTTGTTGTCAAATATAAAATCTCACTCTTCCTAAGGAAGGGTTATGCTAATGGACATTGAACTCTGAACATGGTCATAAAATTTACAATAGCTGAACTTTGGTCTGGAGTAAGAGGCTGCTATGGTTACAGCCAACCAGCATGAACAAGGGGTGGGTATGGTCTTCCCAGGGACTTCCTCAATCACACAATTAATTTATAATCCTTGGCCAAGTGTCATGGAAGCAAGTTTAGCCTACCATATCAAGACAGGAGTAGAATTCCTAAATAATAGGGCATGGAGGATCTGTATTCCCAAAGCGTTGCTGAGTCTAGCAGACAACAACCACGAAATCCCAACTTCTCCAAGAATTATTGGAAATATGTAAACATATACTTCACTATTGTGGACATTTATGTTGTTTCAACTTCACAATTATGACTGAGAAAGAACACACAAATATCTTTAGGCATAAACCTTTGTTCATATCTCCACTTATCTCCTTGCTTAGACTTCTAGAAGTTTGATGAAGTCTGTGGATTTTTCTGAAGCTGTTGCTATGCATTGCTGTTTCTTTACTCACTGGTGATCTGACTCTTATAATTGTTCCAAGAGGAAATCCTAAGGAGGGTAAGCCTTTTATCGAGTGTACTGTGGAGTGGAAAGAGAAGACCTTACATCTCCTTATGTTTTATACCTCTCTATTTTTAGACTTTATCAGAGAGGTATGGCTTTAAAACTTCCTCTTTCAAATTGGATCATATTTGTGTATTATTTAAATTATATCTTGAGAAGTTTCATCTTTATCACTTTTTAGTACTCTGATAGAGGTGGTTCTGAACATTCTTGCTCCCATTTGGCTAAAAGATCATTTCATTCGTAGCATGTTTTCCGTACCACTTTTTACTGTATTCTTTGATTATTTAGTAATAGCGTATTAAGTTGGTGCAAATGTAATTGCGGTTTTTGCCACTGAAATTTGCATTTACTTTTAATGGCCAAAAAACGCAATTACTTCATCCTCTACTTTTCTTTATTAACACCTAACTTATTTGTGGAATTAGCTGATCATCTGTCTTTTCCCTTATTGTGACTAGATGACATGCTCTAGGAGGTGGACATGTTTGTTTTGTGTATCACTGAATTCCAGGGACTCTCAAAGAGCCTGGCCCAGAGAAGACACTCAGCAAACATTTGTTCAATAAATCATTGGAGATACATACACACATACTCTACTACTGTGGACACTTATGTTGTTTCTATTTCGAAATTATGATTAAGGAAGAGCAATGCATGAATATCCTTATGAATAAACCTTTGTCCATATCTCTGATTATTTCCTAGCTTAGACTTCTAGAAGTGAGTCAGTCTGTGAATGTTACTGAAGCTGTGGCTACACATTGCCCAGCTGCTCATTAGAAAAAGATACCAGCCACCCGCCATGCCCTTAATACAGTGAAGGTGCACACTTTCCTACATCCTCAAAACATGTATATTATTGGAAAACTTACTATTTTTTCCATTTAAGTCTATTAATTTTAACCACACTTTTAAAGGGTGGGACAGAGTTAGTTCCTTCTGGCCCTATTCCTAATGTGGAAAATAATTTTGTGTTTATTATTGTATTTTGTATTACATAGGCCCATTACAAAAATGTATTCAAATGGAACTGGCAAGAATAAAGAAGAAAGTAAATATAATAAATAATTTATCCTAGAAGAAGTAATTGTGTTCATAGTTGGGCAAAGACTTTCATACTTATAGCTTTATGTCTTAGCTTCCTGCTGCTATAACTGAATGCCCGAGGCTGGGTGATTTATAAAGAACAGAAATGTATTTCTTATGGTTCTAAAGGCTGAGGAGTCCAAGGCCAAGGGGCTACATCTGGTGAGGGCCTTCATGCTAGTGAGGACTCTGAGTCCCGAGGTGGCACAGGGCATCATGGTGGCCAGATAGCAAGTGGGCTGACAGTGCTAGCTCAGGTCTCTCTTACTCTTCTTATAAAGCCACCAGTCCCACTCCAGAGAAAACCCATTGGTCCATTAATCCATTAGTCCATGAAATAATTAATACATTCATGAGGACAGGGCCCTTATAACTCCATTGCCTCGTAAAAGTGGCAACTTTCCATACTGCCACACTGAAACTCACCAATATGAGTTTCAGAGGAGACAAACATCTGGTGTAACATCATGCACACATTTATAATAAAACCGAGTCTTACTCTGTGTTCTATTTTATAATCTGCTTCATAAAAATTTCAACAAATTGCCATGGCAATCCTTTCATGTCAATAGATCACGTTTACCATTGTACAAAGCAACCGCAAATTATTTCTACAAACCCTTTTTGGTGGACATTGCGGTTGTTTCCAGCTTTTCACTGTTGTACCCATGATGTGGGTGATACTCCTTTTATGTTCAACCTTGCTAACCTTTCTAGGATTTCCTTGAGATAAATTCTGAGAAGGAGAATTGTTTAGTCAACAAAAAATATGTGTACACCAGCAGAAAGTGTGTCCCAATTCAAATTTCTACCAACAGCATTTTGCATTAGAGTTCCCAATTTCCACAGCTTCCCCACAGCATAGTATTGCTAGTGTTTTTAATCTTTCACAAGCTGGGAGACAAGAAGTAGCTTGTTGGCATTATTTGATTTTTACATGTCAGTTAGAGTTGCTATATTTTAATAAGCTTATTCCCCACGTGTAGTTTTACTGACACAGTTTTCTGTTTATGATGTTGGCTCATCTATTATATTGAGACTTTTTTATTCATGATTTTTTGTACAGTAAAGACAGTCAACTTTTGTCAGTTCTGTGTATCTTGTGGATATATATATTGAAATATATTCATTGAATATTCATTTTGTTATTTGCATTTCAATCATATTTATACATTTATACATTTTAAACATTATGTGTAGATATTTTACTGGCTCAAGTTAAAAATGTCTATGTAACCAAATATTTCAGTCTTATACTTTATACTTTCTGGATTTGGTATCCTAACTCAACAGTTATTAAGGCTATTTACATATCAACTCAAGTTTTTGTGCAACAGAAAAGTGATTTTTTTTTTTTTTCGAAGATACAGGATTATTTCACATTACCCAAGGCGAAGTGACAATGAGAACTCAGGAAATTACTAGAACCAGAATTTCTGTTGTCTTCTCTGCTCTTTACTGCATATCTGTTTCATTTCCTGGGTCTTTTTCTAATATTAAATTTTATCTTTGCTGCTATTCTATCGCTGTCTTTTATTTAGTTTTTCCTTTTCTAATTTTCTGAAATGAATGTTTTATTTTCTTATTTTGTTTTTGCATTAATAAAATATTTAAAACCATGAATATTTCTCTCTCTCTCTCTTTCTCTGTGTGCATATATATATATATATATCTTTGGCTAGGTTCCATAGGTTTTTATATATGTAAATAGGCATTTAACATCTTTAAATTGCATTTTTAATTTCCTGTTTGTTGAGGACAAAGTTTGTAAGATAATTGTATGATAGCATTATTTCTATTTTGGTTATTTGTTTCTAGTTTTCTATAATTTTTTAATCAAAGAATGTGATCTTAAAATATCTACTCTTATGGTTTTATTGAGATTTTATTTGTAGACAATTTATAATCAATGCTTACAACATTTTATGTCACTCTATGCTATTCCATTTAATGGATTTACCCTCATTTATTTAACAATGTTTCATTTTGGCCATTTTGGATATTATTAAATATTTTGCTTATATAAATTTGCTTGAACACAGATCATTAACTATATCCTTAAAATAAATCTCAGGAGAATTGCTGACTCAGATAGACATTTTTAGATTTATTATATTAAATACAAATTGACCCCAAACTGGCTTTCAATTCATAATCCCACCTTAAATGTAGGAGAAAGCCCTTTTTTCTCTAGCACTGGAAAATGTTTGTTATTTTACATGAAATATTGCTTTAAGTTACAATTCTATGGTCTGCTTTTCTGTCACTATAGTTTTGGCTTTTCTATAATTTCATAAAAATGGTATATTATGGTAAGTAGTCTTCTGTATCTGACTTTATTTTTTAGATTCATCTAGATATAGACACACATTTGTTGATCCACTCAGCAGTTGATGGGACATTTTGGTAGACTCCAGTTACATTGATATATTTGTTAGGAAAGCTGTTATGCATTTGAGTACAAGTCTATGTGTGAATACCTGATTCCTTTTTCTTGTGTAAATAAATAAGAGAGATATTACTGGAACATGGTAAGTGTATATTTAACATTATAAGAAACTGACAGACTGATTTCTCAAGTGGCTGTTCTACTGTGCATTCCCATAAGAGATGTACGATAGTTTCAGTTGCTCCATATCCTCACCAGCACTTGCTATTATAAGTCCTTCAAAATTTGGCATTATAATGAGTGTTTACTGATATCTCACTGTGGTTTTTATTTGCATTTTGCTAATACTAATTATATTGGACATCTTTTTATGTGTTTGTTTGCCATTTATATACTTTATTTGGTGAAGCCTCTGTTGACATCTTTTGTCCATTTTCTATTTGATTTGTCTTCTTTTTGTTGAGTTGTAAGAATTCTTTATATTTTACACTCAAGATACAATATTTATTAGATATATGTTTTACATATATCATATATTTATTAGTTATATGTCTTGCAACCATTTTGTTCCAGTATCTGGGTTGTTTTTTCATTTCCTTAACAGCATCATTGAAGAGCAAAATTTTTAAAATTTGGTGAAGTCTAACTTACCAATTTTTTCATTTTATGGAATATGGTTTAAGTGTTATATTTAAGAATTTTTTGTCTAATCCAAGAGCACAAAGATTTATTTTCCTGTGTTTTGTTCTAGAAATTTTATGCTTTTAGGTCTTATATTTAAGGTTATAGTCTATTTCGAGTCCATTTTTGTATATGATACGAGGTAAGGGCTGAGGTTCATTTTTATGCATGTGGCTAGGGTGTTGTCACAGTTTGGTTTCTTGAAAAGATTATCCCTTCCCTGATGAACTGCCTTGGC